AAATTCTTCTGCTAGTTGGGGTTTAGTCCAAATCTGCATCCTTTCCTTCAAGGCTCAGGGGTCCAAGATTATCTTCTGTGTCTGTATTAATTGGTTTCCCTTTTCTTTGTTAAAGAGGGTCTGTGCAATCCTTCTGCCTAGTCCGCCATCTTGCCGACAGTCCTCCTCCTCATTGTTGTTTTGATTTGCATCTCTAATGGCTAATAATTGTGAGCATTTCTTCATGTATTTGCTGGCTGCCTGAGTATCCTCTTTGGTGAAGTGACTATTCATGCCTTTTGCCAATTTTTTAAATTGGTTTGTTAATCTTTTTGTTGTTGAGGTGTTGGTATTTTCTATAGATTTTAGAGATAAGTCCATTGTCAGGTTGTTGCCAGATATTTTTTCTCAATCATCAAAAAGATTCTCTTTTTACTCTTTTGGCAGTGTAATTATCGACAGGTATGAATTTGTTGCTGTCATTTTGTTATGTGCTTTCTCGTGGTGTTGCTGATTTCTTAGTTCCATATAATTTTCTGTGCTGAGCTTGTTTTGTTTATAAATCGTATTATCAATTCCTTTTTTTGCTATTGTTTTAGTATTTGCTAAATATTTGTGCTGGTCCTCTTTTTTATTTTGATATGAAGGTTTATCATTTTTCTTTGATTACCCTGTGATTTATAGTTTTAATCCGAAGTTTAGAACAGTCCATTCTATTTTACAGTTGTCTTGACTTGCCTACCATTAGGAAGTTCTGTAACTACAATTTTTTCCCTCTTTTTATTTTGTAGTTGTCCTCATTTGTCGATTAATGTCTCTGGTTCCATGTTTACAGTCTTATGGGATTATTTACTTTGGATGCTTCTTTAATGGGGTTGGTTTCTGGGTTATGTCATCATGTGTGTTAATGGTTAATTGTTGTTTGCTGTTGTTGGTTCTCTGTCCAGAGGACTCCCTTTAGATCTTTTTTAAGGTTGGTCTGGTTTTAACAGATTCCCTTAATTTCTGCTTATCTGGAAATCTCCTCATTTCACCATCATATTTGAGGGACAGTTTTGCTGAGTATGTAATTCTTGGTTGGAAATTTTTTTCTTTCAGGGTTTTATATTTACTATCCCATTGTCTTCTCGCCTACTTGGTTTCTGCCAGCAAATCCAAGCTTAGTCTTATTGGTTGCCCCTTGTAGGTAACTTTTTGTTTTTCCTGTTATACTTTCAGGACTCTTTCTTTGTCCTTGGTTTTGGTGCATTTGATGATATGTCTTGGTGTTTTTATTTTGGGGTCTATCCTGTTTGGGGTTTGTTGGAGTTCTTGAATGGGTATATTCTCATCTTTCGTCATATGAGGGAAATTCTCTTCCAACAAATCTTCAACAGTTTTCTCTGTGTTTTTTTATTTGGGTCTTTCTATTCTGGAATTCTGATTACTCCTTTTGATGGTATCTCACGTGATCCTTAGGCTTTCTTCATTTTGTTTTGATCTTTTTGATGATTGATCCCTTTCCAAAGAAGTATTGAGGTATTTGTCTTCAATCTCACTAATTCTGTCTTCCATTGATTCAGTTCTACTCCCTTGCCCGTTCAGTGTGCTATGTATTTCTGAAAACTTAGTATTAATCTTCTGAATTTCTATCTGTAGATTTTGTCTCATTTCAAATTTTTCATTTATTTTGTCATTCTGTTCTTGTTTTGTCTTTCCAAAGTGTTCTAGGGTTTTCTCTGGGTTTTCCTCAATTTTGTCAGTGTTTTCCTTGATCATCTCTCAATCTGTTGAAGGTACCTAAATATAATTTTTTTTTAATTCCTTATCAGGGAGTTCCAATGCTGTGTCTTCCTCAGGGATGGTTCTGGGTCTGTATCCTGTTCCCTTGTTTCTCCTGATTTATGTTGCTTCTTTGTGTGGACTGTGATGCTCTGTTGTCTCCAAGACATTGTGACGTTTTTGTTTATATTTGATTGGTGATTGTATGTTGGAGCGACTTGCCCACAATTTTTGTTTTCTTTGTGTGTTACGTACAGAAGCAGGGTACTGTGCTCATCTATTTGCTAATTGGCAGCACTTATACACTCATCACCTCTCTCCTATCCCATTGTCAGCCTCCTGTATGCTCCTGCTTCCTTGGCAAATGGAGCCTATTCTTAGGTCCCTGGAATCCAAATGAGAATGGGGTCACTTTAGATATCCAAAATGGCCACTGCTTGTAAACATTCAAAATGGCTGAGTCTTTGGTCACTTTAAATATCCAAAATCACCACCACTTGTAAACAATCAAAATGGCTACACCCGCTGGACAACCAATAGTCCACAGCTCAGGTTGTCTCCCTCCTTGCTGTTTCCCTTCTTAGTCATAGGCCACCAGTGTAGTCATCCCTGCAGCCCTGGGTGAAAAGGGCTGATCTTTAGGTCAATTCTTAGGTCCCAACACCACTTGGAAATATTCAAGTCATTGGTGCCATCATAGTAGCTGACAGTCTGCAGCTCTATCCTTCTCCATACTCATTGTTTTCATTCAGGTTTGTCCACTAGTTGGTGCTTAATCCACTTCTGTATACTTCCTTTCAAAGCTCAGGGCTCCAGGATTATCTTCTGTATCTCTGTCAATTGGTTTCTCTTTTCTTTGTTGAAGAGGGTCTGTGTAGCTTGTCTGCCTATTCCACCATCTTTCCGGAATTTCTACCCTTTATACTCTTGTTGTCATACATTTTACCTGTTTTAGAAGACACAGTAGAGTGTTACTATTTTTGATTAAACAGTCACTTATCTTTTAAAGAGATTTCAATGTTAAAAAAAAATTCTGATTCTCAGTGCATTCCTGCATTCCTTTGTGTAGATCCATATTTTCATCTGGTGCCATTTTCATTTTGCCTGAAGCATTGTCTTTAACATTTATTTGTAGTGTGGATATGCTGGTGATGAAATCTTTAAAGTTTTGTATTTCTAAAATAGTTTTTATTTTATCTTCATTTTTTAAAGAAATTTTCATGGGGTATAGAATTCTATTTTGACAGCATTTTTCTTTCACTGCTATAAAGATGTCATTTCATTTTCTTCTCATTTACATTGTTTCTGACAGGAAGTTTACTGTTGTCTTTTTCTTTGTTCCTCTGTATACAGTGTGCCTTTTTTCTTTGGCTGCTCTAAAGATTTTCTGTTTATCACTTGTTTTGACAATCTGATTATGATGTGCCTTGGTGTGATTTTACTTGTGTTTTGGGTTCATTGAGCTTCTTAGCTCTGTGAATGTATAAGATAGTCAGTCATGTGGATATGGGAGGAAGGAAGTGATCTAGGAGAAAAACTCATTGCCATCTAGTCGATTCTGACTCATGGAGACCCTTTAGGACAGAGTAGAATGCCCCATAAGATTTCCAAGGCTATAAATCTTTACACAAACAAACTGCCTCGTAGGGAAGAGTTAATACAAAAGCCCTGAGTCAGCATTGTACTTGATGTGTTCAAGAAATAGTAGGATGGTCAGTATAGTTGGAGAGATGCAAGCAAGAGGGAAAAGCAAAAGTGAGCAAGTAGAGAAGAGTAGTAGAGATGAAATCAGAAAGGTAAATGGGAGGCAGGAATAAGGGCGATCTTGTGACTTTGTAGACCTTTTAAAATTAGGGGACTTTTGGAGGAGTTTGAGCAGAGACATGACTGGATCTATTTTAATATTTTAAAAGCATCACTATGCTGTGTTGAAAATACTGTGGTGAGCAAAGGGATAGGAGACCAAATAGGATGCTGCTATAGTAGTTTAAGTGGGAGGTGATGACAACTCAGACCAAGGAGGTAGCAGTGCAGGTAGTTATAAGTGGTCAGATCCAGAATACAGTTTGAAAGTAGACTCGTTAGGATTTCTTGGCAGATTGAGACCATTTAAGTAGTGCACATAGAGAGGGAAGAGACCAAGGTATGTCCCTCTTAGGAACTTAAACATTAAAAGATGGAGAAAAGAGAAGAAACCAGTAAAGGAGAAAGAGAAGGAAGGACCAATGATATTAAAAAAATAAAAAAAATAAAAAAATCCTGAGAATGGAGTGTTCTGGAAACCAGATGAAAAAAGTATTTTCAGGAAGAAGGAGTGAACATCTATGTGAGATGCTACTGGCATGTCAATAAAGATGAGGAATGACAATTGAACTTTTAAAAAAAGAAATAATTTTTTTTTTTTTTGGAATTTGGGTGAAAGTTTATAGAACAAACTCATTTTCCAAACAGCAGTTCATACACATTTTGTTTCATGACATTGACTGCCATTTCCCACAATGTAACAGTTCTCTCCCATTTCTTTCCCATAGTTACCTCTTCCCTGTGTCCTTCCCTCCCATGCACTCCTGCCCCTTGAGCTATCTCTGTGCAAACACTGCCCTTCTGTACTCCCGCTATTAATCACTCCAAGGAGCGTATCTACCTGATATAAGTGTTCACCCCATATGCCAGTCTATTGTTTGGCTAGAAGCCACAGAAGTGATTTCAGTTCCAGACCTGAAGGTAACTAGGAGCCATAGTCTCAGGGGCCTTACCAGGCTCTATCAGACCAGTAAACCTGTTTTTTTTTTTTTTTTTATGATTTTGAGTTTTGTTCCACATTGTTCTCCCACTCTATCCAGGATCTCCTCTACTGATCCCTTTCTGGGTGGTTGACAGTGGTAGCTGGGCACCATCTAGTTTTTCTGGTCTCATGGTCGTATAGGCTGAGGATCACATGGTCTGCTAGTGCCTTGAACCATTTTTTTCCATGTGTTTTTGGTTTTCTTCATTCTTCTTTGCTCTGGATATAGCAAGACCCCGATCATTACTTTTAACACTTCAATCACTACTTATCAAAGTAGGATATAGAACAGTGTTTTGGTGTGGTGTGTTATGCCAGTTGAACTTGATGTCCCCTGTGGCCATGGTTCTGAGCCCACATGTCCAATTACTCGCTCCCTCAGGGTAGCTGGCTATGGCCAAGAAGCCACCACAACCTTGCCTTTTGTCAGCACCACTACACACCCAGACATTCTTATAGCACATACAGATATGCATGTAGAAACATCATCTGCCAATCACAATTGACCATTGTTTTTGGTAGTTAGTAAGAGCTGTTTTGGTGGAACTATTGGGCTGAGAGCTAGATTGAAGATTTTAAGAGCAAATGAAAGAAGAAAATTGGAGAAAGTAGAACAGACAACTGTCAAAGCATTCTGCAAAAAGGGAGAAAAGAAATGACATATTTGTTAGGGGCAATAGAATCGAGAAGGATGTTTTAAGATGAGAGAAATAACTGTGTATTTACTTAACTCTCAGAGCTTTAGTTTCCTCGTCTGAAATGGAGTTTTAATAGAGTTATAAAGGTAGAGCCTGTTTCATAGAGTTGTAAAGCAGTAGTCTAAGTGGGAGGTGATGATGATTCAGACCAGGGAGTAGAAGTACAGCTAAGTGATAAGTGGTCAGATCCAGAATATAGTTTGCATGTAGAATCAATAGAATTTCTTGACAGGTTGAGACCTCTTAAGTAGTGTACATAGTTAGGGAAGAGACCAAAAGACTGATCTTAGGCACTCAAACATCTGTAAACTCTCAAACATCTGTAAACCCTTATCTGTAAATGGGGGTTATGCCTGTGTCATAGAGTTGTAAAGCACCTAACTCAGTGTTGAGCATATAGTAATTACTCAAATGCCCCTCCTTCCCCTCCCTTCTCTTTGGGAGATAATGTTCTAAGTACAATTTTTGTTTGTTTTTTTTTTTTTTGAGGAGATGATTATCTTCTGTTTCTGAAGATTGGTTTTAGAGTGGAAATTTTCTTATAAACTTTCCCTAGGAATGTGAAATTAAAAAAATAAGATGCTTTGAAAATGAAAGAGTAGCTTGCAAACTTTTTTTTTTTTCCAAGTCTTTACCCATTGGAATATTTTAAAAACTATAGGCCATAGTTTTATAAGTAAACGAGAAATGGCTATTATATGTTAGCTGTCATTTCTATGAAAATGGAATGTTTTATTTATTTATTTTGCAATAGTATTTATATTTACCTTTATTGTTTGTACCTCTTGTGTACCTCTCCATGTTTTCCTTTGCAAATGGGATATTTTAAATTGTTATTTCATGTTAAGACCCTTGATACAGGTTTGTATTATGTTGCTTTATAAAAATTCAAGTATAACTTTAGTGACTTTTTTAATTAGGGGATTTTTAATGTATAATATTTATTTCTAATGTGAGACATCTGGGTAAATGTGAAATTTAAGTTCTGAAAAGAATATGATGTAGATAGAAAAATGTGGATATTGAATGAGTTACTTATTTTCTATTGTGGTACAGTTAATTGAGCACTGAATAGCATACGAAATGGATTCATTTAAATCTGAAACTGAAATTAAAGGGAATTTGGAGATCATCTAGACCATTTTATTTTTATTTTCTTTGACTTTGTCATACAGCATATCGCCCAACAGAATTCATTATCTGTTCTCACAAAACTATTTCTCCCTTTTCTGTGTAGCCATTGCGACACATTTGATTTTATTGTTTATGAGGCCATCTAAGCCAGGAACTTTGGTGATTTTTCTTCTTCACCCTTCATTTCTGATGAGATTTTAAATCCTGCCCATTATCCTTCCCTAAAAAGCTCTCAAAGAAGTCTCCTTCTCTCTATGTTGTTGTTCTAACTCATAGCAACCCTACGGAACAGTAGAACTGCTCCATAGGGTTTCTTAGGCTGTAATCTTTACTGGATTACCATTGCACTACCAGGACTCTTCTTCATTAAAAAACCAAAAGCCAAATGCCGCTGCAATTGAGTTGACTCCAACTCATAGCAATACCCATAGGACAGAGTAGAACTGCCCTGTTGGATTTCCAAGGCTGTAAATCTTTAAGGAATGAGACAGCCTCATTTTTCTGCCACAGAGCACTGGTGGGTCAAGCCTCTGATGTTTTGCTTAGCAGCCAAATACTTTAACCACTGTGCAACCAGAACTCCCTTCTCTTCATACATACTGCAAATGCCTCAGTTCAGAGTCCTTGTTAGCTTGTCTTGATTATGCAATAATATGTAAGCTATTCCATTTGACAGGGAGTGCTGGTAGCATAGTGCCTAAGTCACCTGACTGCTAACCAGAAGCCTGGCGGTTCAAACCCACCAGCCACTCCTCAGAAGGAAGGTTGGGCAATCTACTTCCGTAGTGATACTGCCTCGGCAACCCAAGGAGGGGTCGCGATGAGTCAGGTATGACTCGATGGCACATAACAACAACAACAACATTCCATTTGACACTGCCTCCAGAGTTATCTTTGTAAAATACAAACACTTATCTTTATTTTCTAAGATTTTTGCAAAGACTATTAATTACTATAAAAGTAGTTTTTTAAACTGGAATTCATATGTCATTATGGAATATGAATAGTTATCAAAAGGATTGCTATTTAGGTTAGCTCCTATACTTTATTACCTTTGCTCTTAAATTTCCCTTGTCCTTAATTTCCTCTTACAAATAAGTAAAGTTCTTTATACCAAGCTTCAAAGCTGTCTGTATGTACACACGTAGCAATCCTGTTTTCATTTTCAGTGTAGTCAGTGCAGCTGGGGAGAGTTGGATATCCTGCTAGGGTTTGAGGTAGAACAGAAAGTGATCAGTGACCCAGAAAGGATAAGGAATCCAACTGAGTTGGGGGTGGGAGGCATGGCAAAAAATAAAGGTCTAAACAGGCAAAATAAAATTGTGGCCTATATGTGGAATACATATGGAAGAAAAGACATAGTAAACTGTAGATTCAGGTAGGTACAAGCCAGGACCAGTCTGGTAGCCAGCCAGTTTCTGACATGGGGTCCATGAGGAGAGTGAAATAGAAATGAGAAGATGCAGTCCAAGAACTCTTATACACTGCCGGTGGGATTGTAAAATGGTACAACCATTGTGACAAACAGTATGGCGTTTCCTTAAAAAACTGAAAATAGAAATGCCATTTGACCCAGCAATTCCATTACTAGTAATATATCCTGAAGAGGTGAGAGGCAGGACACGAACAGACATATGTACACCTATGTTCATTGCAGCACAGTTTACTATAGCAAAGAGTTGGAAACAGCCTAAATGCCCATCAACAGATGAATGGATAACCAAAGTATGGTACATTCACACAATGGAATAATACTGTGCTACACTGAAGAACAATGAAGGATACAGGAATCTTCTCACAACGTGGATGCACCTGGAGGATATTACGATGAGTGAAATAAGTCAATCACAGAAAGACAAATACTGTATGAGCCCATTGCTGTAAAAAGACAAGGAAGGGTTTGCTTAAGGAAGGGAACTCACATTGTAGGTTACTGGGATGGGCAGGGAAGTGGAGGGAATAATTTTGGGCTAGTCGGGGGCCACACACACAGGTTGGTATGGGGAGGGATAGTATGGAAAGAGTCCGTGACCACCGTGATAACATTGGGGAAAGGAAGAACACTGAATTGTGCACATAAGATATAGACGACAGAGGCTGATACCAGTATATCCACAATACTGCATTACCATTAACACCAAACACCAGGCTACAGATAAATACATAAACATCTGAGACGATCAGATGGGGGTCAATGAACAGGATTATATTCCAGACCAAGGATTGATTCAGCTGAGGCTAATCTTGCACAGATACCAGTGATACAAAATACTGGCAATCCTTACAGAAACAACAGAAGACAGACGTAAAGCAATCCCTCATATACAGCCAGTCACTGTGGGAGAGATTCAACAGATCTACTGACTCAGGACCATAGTACTGGGGGACACCAGACTCAGTTGGCACAACAAAATACA